TCAATGATTATTTTTCCACAATAGGATCAAAACATGCTCGGTAATGTGACTGGTATAGATTCCGATCCATTGCGCTTCGTACCACCTGTTGCGAATACATTTTACTTTCAAAATATTAGTGCTCTAGAATTGACGAAAACAATAGCTCAAATTAAGATAAAAAAAAGTCACATGGGATTGACGGTATAAGTCATGCCAAGCTTTTGAAAGACGCCGGAGATACAATAAATGAGTCATTGCACTGCAAAAAATCCATTTTCGCTTTGAGTTATTTTAACACATAAATTTGCGTAAAATGCAATGTTTACTCAGTTTAAGAGTATTTTTACTCGAATATGCTGAGTATACTCAGTAAACTCAAACACCTGAGTAAAATATTTTGAGTAAACCACTATCGTTTACGCAGTTATAATCGGTAAAATTACTCATTTGAGTAAGTTGCTTCATATTTACTCGTTATTCTCGAGTAGAATCGATGTTTTACTCTAACATTGAGTTAATATACTTTCCAGACTGATCGAGTTACTCAAAGCTGAGTAAAGACTGCGAATCTACTCAATGTGAGTAGAATGTACTGGTCACTCATGGTTTGAGTATTTTTACACCGGTAAATTTTTGAGTAATGTGATGAGTAAATTTACTCAAAGGGTAAATTTACTCAAAGACCGTATCAAACAGTTTCCTCAGTGACTCAAAACTTGTGAGTAAATTGACTACAATACTCTTCAGATGAGTCAACTCAGCATCGGACAACCGGCTTTACTCGCAAATAGCAGGACAAATAGCATCGATCAAACATCGGCAATAAATTGCTCGGTGAATAAATGTGATCGACCCATCGACGAAAGTCGGCAATAAGTCATGGCTGCCGATCATCATGTGATCGGGAACTTTGGGACTAGGTTATTTCAAGTCCTGATTCCTGAATAGAGTAATTCGTCATCTATATTCATCACACGATAACAACGTTGAACCATAGTTAATAAATAGAAAGCACGAGGTCATGCACAGCATATATTTCAGTGCGGTTGCTTATTCTGTGATATTACGCTGCGATCAGAACACACGCAGCGATAGTCTTGTCAATAATCCCCTGCCTTTACAGTGACGTAAATCATATCTGACGACGCGGTAAGTTCAAATTTCAGTGCCTCGTAAATGCTTTGGTGGACATATATTATTCATCTGTACCGCGAGGAATTTCATGGCGAAAAGCGTCAACTTCTTCTTCTTTTATATCGAAGATGGTAAATAGTGCAAGAGGCATGAAGACTTGGCTTACAGAGATGGGTTTGGGAGATTGTTGTCTCTCATTTGAAGATATATTTCCAGATTTTTTTCATGTAGACGTTGGACAAATAAACAGCAACTGAGTTTGGTTTACCGCGCTTCATTCGCATTTGCTTCACTAGTTTAAACTTTGTCGCGTCATGATTGTCTACTTTAGAATTTTCGAAGCTTCCAACGGGCGATTATAACAGAAACAAACTAAAGACGAAAAGCGCATTTCGCATCACAAAAAGCGTTAAGATTGAGCGCTGTTAGCCGCTGTGGTATTGTGGCACAATGCGCGCCTCCCTCCATATGGACGTTTGCAGTCGTATGTTTGCCTAAATATAAGTTACATTGATCGATTATATTTTCTTTACTCACAACTCTACGTGTTTACTTACGCTTAAGACAAACATTTGTATGTCTGTAACTGTATTTATAAGAAGGGAAACGGACTTAACTACAGAAAATTCAAACCATCGGCAAGGTGTAATACGATACGTTTACATTTACATTGCATTTTTTATGTGACAGCCTGTCTGTTACACAGTTTATATGCACAAGTGTAGCCTTTCTAAAGTCTAAAGTCTAACGCCAGAAAAGTATGTTTTATAAAATGCTTTCATGTTTTATATACTGCTAGATAAACAAAATTGCTGACCACGGTGCCAGTGTAATTTATTTGTTAAATAATCTAAAAGTCTATATATTGTTTGCGCCAGTCACTTCCTTCAATTTGAGCTTGCAATCCGCCAATCCACAAGATAGAAGATTAAAGAAAATCATATAGAAAATAACTATTGTAAGAGCAATTAGTAATTATTAGAGTACATGCATGCATGGACTAAGCTATTCTCCTGAAAGCCTTTCAGCCCGTTCTTTGTTAATTAATATAGAAACCCAAATACATGAAGATGAATTCATTGCTTTACCAGAAAGAGAAGACGTTCAGGACGAACGTCTTATATAAGGCTCTGGGGGGGGGGGTTGTAAAACCATCAGCCTGCGAGCAGGCTCTCATCTTAGGGCCTGATCGCAGGCTAAATTCCATATTTATTTTAAATAAACTCCCAGCAAAATATACAAAAGGACTTGACGTGAGTATTTTACATGTATTATCATTGTATTTTATTATGTACTATACCTTAGAAAGGCTGGGGTGAGGCAAACCATTCGGTTTTGACATTTTTCATCACATGAATCAACATTTTCAAATTAATTTAATAAGGCAGTTCAGTATTTTTATGACTACAAACAAATACTGTAATCTATAATTTGTAAATTTGTTGTCCTCTCTGCCGAAGATGGCTGATGTTCTCCAGTTTTGAAGTTTGAAAACATATATGTCTATACTTTTGCACTCTGGTGTTGCTGTGCAAGTGTGGCGACAAGCCGCCTTTCGCCGGCACCCCTCTTTGGTGGCTGATTAACAAATTGGCCGCCTGATATTGGGGACTTGTATATATTAGGCATATATGTGCATGACATTAAAAAAATGAAAGCTTTTTGGAAATTATTAATTAACCTGGCAATTTGAAAGAATTATATATTCTCCAGTTTTGAACAACATATATGTCTATACTTTTGCACTCTGGTGTTGCTGTGCAAGTGTGCATATAATCATATTTATTATATATAGTAGAGAGAGAGATTTCCATATCTTCACTAATGAAGATATCGATCACGTGACTTTTAGTATTTATACAATTTTTTGCTTGGGACTATTAGACTATATATAATAAACAGAACATTATACACGTAACACGTTGGCTTGAAGATATGACTTCTATCTTCTCGTGTTAAAAACAATATTTTTCATGCGCTCGCTCGTTCGTTTGTTTTCACCACTCGAAGATAAAAGTCATATCTTCGCGCCGCCGCGTAATATCCTCTATTATATCAACTACGCAGCAATAATTGTAAGCTTTACTTAGGAAAACCTAACACTGGTTTAATATGAAGAGATCCTTTTCCTACTGCCGGCTGCCTCGGCATGGAACAATCTCCCAAATGAAGTTATCAATGGATATATAATCAACTCGATCTCTACATTGAAAAGCTTTTAAAACTATAATTAATTATTTTAGCCAATTGGAAAAGAGAGAGAGAAAGAAAGAGACAATTTTGTGGGGCGGATTTGTTCTTATATACTTTAGGCCGGATTGCAAATAGTTTGTAAACAGAGAGCTTGTGAGTATTAAGTGGGCTTGTATGAGTATATTTGCATGTAAAGTAGTCTTTAATATTTTTGTAAAAACGCTAAAAACGATTTTGCTAAAAACGACTGATATATATTTTTAACTATTATACATTGAATATAGACAATATAGGCTATACAGTGTTTTAAAAATACTATAGGAATTACTAGTTTTGTATTATGCTGACCCCTATATATACTTTGTGTGTGTTGGTGTTATACTGTTTGTATTCAGGTCAATATAATGTTAACTTTGTGGTGTTACTCTGAGTTACTCTAATGATTGCTAGCATGAAAAATGTCAAACATAACTAAGTTGTACTTGTATGGTAGATTTTCAAGTCTACTTAACAGATTGTTATATATTATGGTACAGTTTATAATACAAACAAGTCTGCGTATCAAATGACAAATACTAAATATCGGCAAATCGGTAATAAAATTGGACTGTTTATGATGGGCCTATATACTGAATAACCAAGAATTTTAATTTATATAAATATTCAAAACTAAATTCTGGGCGTTTTAGTTAAAAAAGCGTCGGTCATTAGATTTTCCGTTCACTACAGAAATCTCGATTGAAAACGATAATGGCCAAGTACACTTAAACGTAAACAAGATAAGTGGCTGTATGAGTTATTAGCATTATTTCCGTTACCGCCCATGCAATCATACTTTTTGACTCACAGATGTTGCTTCGCAACATCTGTGAGTCTTTGTGGTTACTTGAGTGTGGGGCAGTTAATTAAACAACGGGAAACGACCAGCCTGCTTTGCGCACACTGTTTGCCTGCGAATCGGACCTTTCAGGAACAGAAATCGGGCTGGAGCACGTGTTCGTTCTATGATTTGGCTGAAGAAGCACGACAAATGGCAAAATTCGCATGGTGCCCGTTTGCAAAAACAACTGCAAAACTGCTCTAATTCTTTCTCGGTCACTAATTTCATTTGATCTCATCCGTGAGTCAGCCTCAACGCCAACGGCCTTTGATTATACTTTACCACTACTGTTCTGATAATGTAAGCATAGCCGTAGAGTAGAACCAAGCTTTTAAATTATATGTATACATGTGTTAGTGCATGCATGCATGCTGAATTAGGCGGTCACATGCGTCATTAAACATGCGGTTAGCGGTTGTACAATTGTGGGATAACCGTCTAACATTCCTGAATGCCATAACTTGCCAACATTACTATAATCATTGAAATGATGCATAAAAAACACAGTTTAAGCCGTTACCAGATCTTTCTTTCTTATAATGACGTCAAACGCGATGCATTGTCCCACAGTCGTTGGCGAGCCAATAAATTCCAGAAAAACACATTTGCATTATCCCTTGGGACACCGCATTAAGTGTTTTTCCGCGTTTGACGTCATTATAAGAAAGATCTATTCCGTTACTGTGATGTCGCCAACGACCTGCCCGCGGACATGCGTGTATATATAGTGGGGTAGAATGGCTCAGTAGACAGTTCAAGCTAGCAAGCGTTGAAGAAAAGTTAGTGAACAAAATTGAGAAGAATCCAAGAGATTTTAAACATGATGAAAATTTCTGTGTTGCTGGTTGTTGTTCTATTTGGGCTCGTATGCAGTCGTTCAGTGCCTGTTAGTGGTATGTACTACTATGTTGCTTTATGTATTTATGTAGTTTTACTTTAAGGAGACCAAGCTTTCGTTGGTAGGAATGCAACTACCTGAAAAATATAACGAGAATTTCGACGTATCGAGGGAAAGCCCTTCCTTTGGAGTACGTCAAGGGGACCCCCCCTTTCAAATTAAGCTGAGTTTAAACTCAGTTCCGAGCGAAAACATGCACTTGAAAATTGTGTCAAATTATAAACCAGCCGTAATTACATAAAAAATGCAGGGCGCAATAATTAATCAGCGTTAGGATTAAAGGAATACCGAATGGTTTTCCTTGCAGGATTTCGTGATCCATGCACGAGGGATGTCGCGAGGCTTTCGGAAAGCGTAAATACTCGAGCCGCAGGCGAGTGTATTCAGTTACGCTTTCCAAAAGTCGAACAACATCCCAAGTGCATGCATCATGCTATTCTGCTTGGTAAGTCATTTGGCAATTGTTTTTATAAAATAACTACAGTGAAAAATGACATTTCGCGAAGGCATTTTAATTCCTCGTGCAGGATAGCCTGATCCTGCACGACTTACGATTATTGGCTATTGCGTGTTTCACTGTAGTTATTATATGACGAGTTTTACCTGTTCTATGCTACCTTTTGGACTATGATATAGATAAGTGGTTGGATGGCGCGCCAACGAAAGCGAATGGAACCTCGAGTAGAACCTGCAAAGGTTATCACATTGAATGCACAACGAGCGCTGAATGCTGCCACCAATATCATTGTTCTTCACCTTACTCAAGCTCAAGTAAGTTAATTAGATAATCAAAGAGCATCAAAATAGCACGACTATAGTATAGGACGAGTGCTATTTGAGAAAATCAACGTACGTGTGCTTGTTTTATCCAAATTTCACGAGAAGCCATCCTATTGCATAACTTGCATATTAATAATATACATACAAATGTTCGATACAATTGTAGTTTTATTTTAACTCACATTTATAAAGAACCGACAAAGTTTTCCTCCTTTGTTATAACGGCTTATTGACCGAGCGTGAGGTCTGTACTGTGAAATATCAGACCGAGGTTTTTTAGAGTATGGAACGAGCGACGAAGGAGCGAGGTCTGATATTTCAGTTTCACAGTATACAGACCGAACAAGCGAGGTCAATAATCGGTTTATTATATGGCTGAACTGAGTCTGTGAGCATATGCTTTTCGCGAGAATTAAATCGGCTATCGTCAGTTTCACTTGGTAACACTATACGGTAGGCATGCATGCTCAATCAAAAACAATTTGGTTGTTTGAAATTTTTATCTGTAAATTTTATTGACATACAATTGGAAAATTAAAAAGCAAAAATTCAGCAAAAATTTCCTGCCAGATAAAGGCGACATCCGGGACACCGGTCCAGATACGGAAAATACGGACCACGGTCCGGATATGGCTTTTTACGGACCGCTTGTCAACCAATCAGAATAGAGAATTTTGAAAAGCCATATAATAATATCAATTATACAACGCTAACAGCTTGTGAATTTCACTGAAATATATATGTAAGTTTTGCTCAGTAGTCTTGTTTAACTGGCAAAGTCTTTTCCATTTGTACTGTCAGATAAAGATCGACTGCTCATGTTTTAACTAGTAGCTACTTAATTTAAAGCTTCAAGTTTGCGAGCAACTTGGACGACAGAGGCGAAGTTAATATTCCAATTTATTTCTATTCAATTTTTAATTTCACAGCAGTATATGCTGTTTTTCTTATAATCAGGGTGGCATTCTGACTAATGAACACTATAATGATTGTATTTTCTTGTTTCAATAATAAGGTGCGGTGATTATCGGCGAATAAAAACCGAAACGAAGTCGATGTTTTTACGATAATCATCGAGCCTGAGGTAAATAATTGTCTTAGGGGCGGACCATTTGATTTTTGAGGGGGGGGGGGGGGGAAGATTCAGTCTGTGCAAGAATTTTTTTTCCGCCCAGGCGAACAAGACAGGTATTTTTTCCTGTAAAAGTGCAGCGCAAGATATTTTTACCCAATATATTTGGCGGCAGGATATTTTTTTTGCCTCTCATAATAACGGCTTACAGTAACTTAGGAGGGTACAGTATATGAATGACCTGTAACCTTGGGGGGTTCGGGGGCATGCTCCCCCAAGAAAATTTTAAAATTTGAACCTTGGAAATGCTATTTCCTGCGTTTTCAGCCATGGATTCGTCCACAACAATTTTGCTGTACTAAGCCTAAGGAACACTTACTGTCCCTTATTTTAAACAAGGGAAAATCACAAAATGAGCTTTGATTAATATGTAATAAAACAAGATTTCAATAATGCAATTTTTAACTGCCCTCCGAAACAATGTTCCACCAAATATAGCTCTGTAGCTTTTCAATCGTTCATACAGATAGCTTGTTGGGGATCGGGTTGCATCCTCTTCAGAAATTTTTTAAAATCTAGACTCTCTAAACTGGCATTTTCGCATTAAAATCATCGTATATACAGTACGTTCAACTTGCATCCTGTAGATGGGCCTTTGAAGCTTTAACAGTTTGGAGCTATGTTATCAAAAAACGCACACAGACTCAACCATCCAAAAATACTTTTTCTACATGCATATTAGATATGTATAAATTACTTATAAACTTGTACATAATTCGTCCACAACAATTTTGCTGTACTAAGCCTAAGGAACACTTACTGTATGTCAGAGGCTCCAAAGGCGGTAGAATCCCTGTGATGTTATCCTCTGTTCACCCCGTGTTCTTTTAAGCAAATGTGCCTGCTCAAAAATGCAAAATCTTGCAAGCCTGTGGACACAATACTGAAGTGAAGAGCATCAGTAGAGTTACATGTAGAATATTTTTTTTGAGCGCTCTCTTTTGCATGATATTTTTTTTTCTCGATTGTGTGCTGAATGATTTTTTTTTTCTTTCTCCTTGGGTTGCAGGAAATTTTTTTCGAAATCTTCCACCCTCAAAAGTCAAATGGTCCGTCCCTTACGACCTTTAGATGGCAAGCGGTGTCATATTTCACTAGATTACACAATATTCCCGAAAAATAGGTACGCACTGCGTACATGTGGCTAGCCTATTCACTATTCAGCCTGTCGAATACAGCTGGAGTTCACATTGTCATGAACATTCATCACAAACATTCATTGTGATACAAAATTAATAATTACAATAGAAGAATGTTCAAAATAAAACAGATGAGTATCTTTCTTACAATGCCAAGAAATGGCTACAATCACTCGATTTAAAAGCAATGGTTGGTACTTGCCAGCAATGGTGCAGCCAACAATATTATTGAGTCACAATTTAATTAATAAATGTTTTGCTTTAATAATAAACATATATGCAGCAACTAATGATGCCACTTTTATTGTTTTTCAAAATTTCACTAATATGTAATTCACTAATTTCACTAATATGTAATTCACTAAGATTTCATTACATGGGTTTCTTGTTACAAATATATTCTGGTGTCTGGTTTACAAGTTATTAGCTTTTCTTGAAACCTTTCATAAAACCTTTAACCCATTAAGCTGCAGAGCTTCCCCACTAACGAGTAAAATCGTCTGGCGACTGGCGTTAGACAAGTAAAAAAAGGTTGGGCGCAATGGGGCGCATTGCGGCTCAATGGGTTAAATTCAAAGTTCTTCATTAATATAATATTTAATGCTAGATTTCTAAACAGTTTTTATTTATTGTAATTTATAAGATCTAAAAGCATCGGAATTTATATGTATGAAAACATTCATACCACCCCCACGGAGGAAATTGGAAGTTAACCCCCCTACCCCCTTGTGATGTCCTAATACATTTACTATTATCAGAAACAATTTTGTCTCCCCTCCCCCTCCGGACAGCAGAAATTTCCACCACTAAAACTTTTGTCTGATAGTTGTATTGCCCTCATGATGATACTTGCATATCATGATCTTCCTATATTATCCAGTTTTATCACCAGTCACCATATTATCAGCAAATTGTCCAGAATATGTGTTCACTTAGTTGTTTGAAGTACAGTAACTGTAGATGTCATGCATCACTGTGATTTCGAATTGGGCTTTTATCTGTAAATTGTTTAAAATTAAGAACCAAATACAGTGTATTTACTGGCAGATCACAAAAATGAAATATTGCAAATGATGCAGGTATAAAATTAATTTAAACAACATTTAACTCTAGCTATAAAAGTATGAACATGCTACTCAATTGACACTGCTGTTATTAAATGCTGAAAAGAAAGGTTGAAACTTGTCGATATGACCTCAGCACATTATGGCTGTGGGTTTGCTTTTTCATATACCTTCTCAACTGCTAGGGGTCAGTGTTGTATAGTGATTGCACTGATCTTCATGAACGTAGCAAAGCATCTGTCATTGGGAGAGGGGTAGGGGGTGCCTGAGAATTTTACCTGAAATCTGAACTTCAATGTGAAAAACTACCTGAAGTGTAATAATTCCACTGTCATACAGTGCTGGAAAATGTCCGGCAGCACCAGCAGCACCGCTGCCAGGAAATTTTCACAAGTTGTTTTCGCAGGAAATTTTCTTACACCTCGCAGGAATTTTTTGTTACATATACTTCTAATACACTTACTGTACTGTTTAAAAATCCCAAAAGCATTTTGCAAGTCGAGATATCTGCAATGGATATCTGTATTGTGCCGAGATTGAAGTTTGTCACAATGTACGATTGTGCGGAGCGGCACCATACATATACGTTCTCTGAAATCTGCATAAACAGGAAGTTTTATGTTTGACTGACACAGGAAATTTTTATTTTTGGGTTTTGCTGCCAGGAAGAGAAATATATTTTCTAGGCCTGCAGTGTCATACTAAGTTCCCTAAGAAAAGGGTGTGTGGGGGTCCTCCCCCAGAAAATGTTCCATGAAGCTCCAGAACTGCATTTCTGGTGTTTTCTAAAGCACATTTACAAACAAATTGGATCTAAATTGACTGTATCAAAAATCGTTATCATTTCACAAAAATACCAACTTTATTATGATGCAAATTTAACCTGAAAATGTCAAGATTTATACTTGATTTTGTGGGTTTTACACCCCCACACTCCCTGTCGCTATGTCCCTGCTGATCTTTATAGATCAGATATTATTTACATCTCGACCGAATATCCAAAAATAAACTGCACCTAACAGTTGTTGCATTTTTCGCAGCTGTTCCTGGTTAGGTCTTATAATGAATGTAAATACATTTTCACTCAATTATTTCCATCTAGAAGATTAATATTCAACTGTACATAAACAGACTGAGCTTTCATTGCACTGTGTGTGAAATTGTGGTGGGAAACAATCCTTGAATCGGCAATAGATCTCAATAATAGCACCCGTTAAAGGTGATCTACAGTCCGTATGTAAACAAAGCCTTTGTTTACATTTTTGTGTCCAAAATATTGAGCTTTATTCGACAACTATTTATATTTTCAAGCTTCTAGTGTATAATAAATGATCAAGAAACAACAATCAGGCTTTTCAAGAACTCAAAACATAGTTAAACTGTTTGTATCATAAAAAGTGGGCTCATTTGTGCACATGCGCAGATCGGACTGTAGATCACCTTTAATTTGCAGTCGGTGCGATGCCAGTGACCATTAATTTAAAGACTATAGTAATATAAAATACACCTGCAGCAAGTGGATAGGGCAGTTGTAGTATAATATAACAGCAATGGGCTTACTTCTTAATTCACCCACATAATGATATATTAAAATTCAAGATCTGTGCAAGCACATTTGATTATAAACAGTATTATAAACTCACTATAAAGCTTTATATGAAGCGTGATCAAAATATCTTTGACTAAAAGCAGAGTCCAGACTATAGCAGACATGAATAGCAATGACATGACAGATTCACAAATTATAAACATAAATATCGATTGAAATAACAAAAATTAACTTAGGCCATGGGAATGAAAGTCTCTGATTTGCGTTCGCTAAATTTGCAAACCACATGCGGCATTTTTTCATTATTCATTATTCATTATTTGTCTTTAGCCAGTGCTTCCACTTAAAAATCCAAATTTCCTCTTTTGCTAATGATATTTCCTTAAATTTCCATGAAATTGTCTACTCGAAAGAAAAATCTACAAGGCTACCTATAAAAAGAAGACGTACCCATCCAATTTCCCTCCAACCACAACAATCTGCACGATCAACCTCCGTTAAGTCAAGGTGCACTTTCCCAAAAAGTTTGTCTGTGGTGGATATGTTGAAACTGGGCAAAGTGATAAAAGAAAAACCATCCACCATTATTGAACTGTCAAGTTTTGATATAAATCAGACGGAGTGGTCTCCTGAATTTCGTTTTGTTGAGTTTGTTATGAACCCAGTGGTAATCGGTGTAGGGGGCTTTCGTGAAGCATTCTCTGCAACAAGTCGTCGAGATGACTTCAACACTTCCACTTGGGTAGTCAAGAAGTATTTAGCAAATGCGTTGGAGAATATTAAGGCGACAAATCAGACTCCCGAGCAGCACACAAGGAAGGTGGTGCAAATGCACCTACTTGCACGAAACTTTGCCAAGCAGCTCCAGCAAGAGGTGTGCAAGCGAAATAATGAAGAGGTGTATGGTGAGTTTATGTCTTACAACAATATTTACCTGGGAAAGATGGATGATGGTGAATTTGTTACTGTTGGAGAGTTTGTTAAAGGAAGCTTTGACAAGTACATCAATAATGATGGAACTCTTTGTGGCACTTCAACCTACATCCGCATGAAAGCTGAGAGCTTGTCTCATTATTCCTATGTGAGATCCCATGAGAAGCTGATGGTGGTTGATATCCAGGGCAGCAGCCATAAGTTATTCAACCCGGAAATTGCCTCATATGAATTGCAAGAGGATGACGAGTACCTCTTTTCAACAGGAAACATGACATTCAGTGCAATAACCACATTTGTGAGAGACCATAATTGCAACATTTATTGTGAACTTGTTGGTTTAACAGAATTTGAAAATACTCCTGAATAAACCACAATCATAAAGTGGACAGCTAGTGCACAGTAAGACTGTTATGAATGTTATGACTGTTATGTTATGTTATGTTATGCCTGTTATGTTATGACTAGCATGTTATGTTATGCCAGGGATGGATCCAAGACATCCAACACAATTTTTAGGCGGGGATACTGAACTAGTTTCTCTTGTAATTCCTCATCGTCTTTCCAAGAAGCATCACAGAGAGCCGCCATCTTGTACAAGTGCTTCCACATATTGACGGTATTTCTTTTTGGTAATGAAAATCCCATGGAAACACTGACGTGGAAACACTGACGAGCGCAAAGCATCATGGTGTACTGTGGCAGCGATAGGAGAATTTTAATTTTACTTTGATTTGTGTTTTATTTTGCTTTTAACTTTATTTCTTATTCAATTTTCATTTACGTTTGTAAATGAAAATGATAATTATTATTTTTTACTTTATTTTTTTATTGTAAATGTATTTTAATTTTAATTTAAAACACTTTTTATTAATTCAGAAAAAAAGATATGAGTAAAATTTGAGTGGCAGCGATGGGCCACCATAGAGTTCTTAGTTTTCAAGACACCTAAAAATTCTTAATTTGTTAAAAATTCGAAAAAAAATTACAATTACCGGGGGGTGTGTGAAATTATTGCTGGAAAAATTATTGCGTAAAACATGCTTTTTAATAATATTCTGACTTGCCGATAAATTACGAACTGAAATCAGTCTCAAATTAATAAATATTTGCCAGAAAAGAAGAAATCAACCCTAGAATTGTTATTTGTTAACAATAAATGGCTATCTTTCAGTTGTTGTTGAAAACATGACCTTTGCCTTTGGCCGGCTTTCGGTAGGCAGGTGTAAAAGTCGGATCGGATTGCCAGTCCGGGTCGGATTAGGTCGGATCGTGCAGGTATAAAAGTCGGACCACATTGATGACCGAATCACTAGTCCGGCCGTGCCAAATTGCCAAAACGAAAATACACGCTTCACATGTGAAATTTGAAGATGCAGAACTCTGATCAGAAACATCTACACTATTGTTTTCATTAGACATTATACTTATATGCAGCTTTATTATCACAAAATTTTAAAATAGCCATGGCAATAGCTGGATTCCGTCTGGTATAAGTATGAAACGAAAACTATCGGACGGATAAACTCGAAAAAATAGGAGACCCTCACCATCCAAGTTTCTTTTGAACGTTACGAGCAGAAACCCATCTTGATTTATTCGTCTTATATAAATTTAAGACGGATTTCCGTCTAAGACGAGAAACTTGTCAGACGGGAAAGTTAGACGGAAAAGTTGAAACGCGGTTATAATACCCTTTCAAAGCTAACCCTGTAAATGTTTACGCTTTTTCAATGAAATATTTTAACCCTCAAACAATACGTCCACATGTTATTGTATTACTTAATTGAGATTCGCTGCGTTATATAAGATATCGCTACCGAAATTCTTCATATTATATGACATTGTATTTGCAATGTTAAATACGGTTGCATTATTACTGAACCGGTATGATTCATAATATAAACTTTATATCTGGAATATAAAACGCCAATTTATGCGTCCAGGTGGTCCTCTGTAAAATTCGATGTTCTGTTAATTAATTCTATAGTAAGGCTTGAATTGCATGGTGCTAGTTCTATATGATACATTGCTCTGTGACAATATATTTGTTAACAGGCCCTATAGTAATGTATGATGAAGATTTCATTGAAAAGACAAATGATAAAAACACTTTGCCTTCGAACTATAAAAAAGTCAACAGCGCAACAGGATGGCTAGGCGGCAGCCAACAAAAGCCAGAAACGACTATGACGTAATTAGTTAAAGGAGACAAACGCAGATTTTTGGCACTAACAAAATTTGCGATCTTGTTGATATTTTCCCTCGCCTCGGCCTTTGATGCCAACCGGGCAAGAAATGCTTCTCGCGAATACATGTCCGAACCACGTCGTCGCTTCGACATTTCTTTTAAAATTGTATTTAAACCTGTCCTTTGCCTTTGAACTCGTGATCGGCATACATCACTATTTTTTAGACACTATCCAATTTCCGTCCAAAATTTATCGCAGTGGCCGGATTATGATATCGCCATATCACCTGATCAATTTTTCATAATATATCGCAGTAATTGTAATGACACCATAAACAACATCTTATTATTAAACGCCGAGATTGCGCGCTTGGTCGATTCACAATCAAGACAGGCAAAATTTCACGTCTATCTGAAACTAGTTGGCCGTGAAGGATACAATGTGCGGCAGTGCGGGCTTGGGCGCATAAATACATACATACTGATACTCGACATTAAGGAAATTTTATAGCAGGTGTAGAATATGTTTTCAGATTTTGTATTGTATGCTTATTCCCTTGCATGCTTATTACCTTATTACCTTGTTACCTTATTGCTTGCTTATGTGTGCTTATTCCCTTGCATGCTTATTACCTTATTACCCTATTACCTTATTGCTTGCTTATGTGTGCTTGTTCCTTTGCATGCTTATTACCTTATTACCTTGTTACCTTATTGCTTGCTTATGTGTGCTTATTCCCTTGCATGCTTATTACCTTATTACCTTATTGCTTGCTTATGTGTGCTTCTTCCCTTGCATGCTTATTACCTTATTACCTTGTTACCTTATTGCTTGCTGATGTGTGCTTGTTCCCTTGCATGCTTATTACCTTAATACCTTGTTACGTTATTGCTTGCTTATGTGTGCTTATTCCCTTGCATGTTTATTACCTTATTACCCTATTACCTTATTGCTTGCTTATGTGTGCTTATTCCCTTGCATGCTTATTACCTTATTACCTTGTTACGTTATTGCTTGCTTATGTGTGCTTATTCCCTTGCATGCTTATTACCTTATTACCTTGTTGCTGGTCTATACCATGTGCTTAATTCACCAGGAATATAACATGTGCATTGCATACATTTTGCAATTATGATAAACCTCAGAACCGTTTTTACCTGTCCAACCTGCCCATGCAACTTCAACACTTATAAAAACGCAATATACCGGTCTTATAGTGGGCACGGTATACGATGTAACACCTGCACCACCCGAAGAAGACCCAAAGTTTAACCCAAAATTTGCACATAAGAGAACCTATCTAGCGTAAGCACAGGCTGGAAAATGTTCTTTATGCGATGGTACTGAGAAACATAAAGAGGGGGATTGCCCAGTGTTTCTAGCCGGTGACGCTAACCAAAGATGGGCACTAAAAAAATGTGTATTTGGGCGCTTACAATTAGGACATCAGCGCTGCCAATGCACCGTTTCATCTAAGTGCGGAGTCAATTCATGCAAACAGGGGCATCACAATCCGCTTCATGTCTTGCCCAAGCCGCCTACTGGCGATGAAGCTTCTGAGCCTAAGGGGGTTCATTGTGGCAAAGCACAAGTTTCATCCTCAGGCTCTTGTAAAGTTGCCCTAAAAATTGTCATAGTACCCTTTGTTAAGGATTCAGGGGGATCTCAAATCTCAGCGATTTCGTGTTCCCTTTGCACCAGCGGCCACTGATATTGATGTTTATGCGTGGACTATGAAAAAACATATGCGAACCTGTGCAGTCGGTCGATTGGACGGATATAAAGAAACAATCTGACCATTTCGTGATGTTCCAGTCATGTCGGTAGGAGAAACAGCAGTGGATGTGCTACTAGGGCTTGATGCAACATCCTTGATGGTCAGTCATGTGCAGAGTTGACCCCACTTGGTTGGGTCATTTCGGGTCCAGTACCAACCACTACCAAACCAATGACACGTATCTTACGTGTCCTTGTGGTAGATGGTGAGGAAGATGCCAATCACCAGTTGCGAAAGTTATGGAAGATAGAGAGTTTTTGTGTTCGTATCGAGGCAACCACATCATACACGTGTAGTGTGCAACGAGCTGTTGATATAATGAATGAAACATGTCGTCGAGTGGAGTCGGGTTATGAGCTGTGACTGCTACGGAAAGCTGACAGACCGCCACTGTCTCACAATTTAAAGTCAGCCCTTAGCCGTCTGGAATCGGTGGAACGCCGTTTGCAGAAAGATTCCAAGTTAGCGGACGGTTAATGCAAAGTCGTCAATTAATGCATACGTGGAGAATGGTTTTCCACGAAAGTTGTCGCCTGAGGAATTTGCTATGGACGGAGAGCAATGGCTACTGCCACATCACCCTATAATCAATTCGCACAGACCACTGCCAAGAGTTGTTTTCGATTCCGCTGCCAAACACGACGGTGTTTGTCTCAACGACTGCCTTGAGAAAGGGCCAAGTCTTCACAATGATCTTCCGAGCATTTTGTTACGATTTGGTGAAAAGCTCTTCGCACTTGTGGGAGACATGTCAGATATGTTTTGCCATGTTCTAGTCAAGGAGGAGGACCGCAAGTATCACCGTTACTTGTGGCGTGACATGGATTCAACAAGACCGCCAGACGTTTATGAAATGAATTGGTTGGTACTTGGTGACAAGTCCTCATCCTGTGAAGCGAATTTCGCAGTTATCCGTGCGACGGAAGACAACCAGAATCAATGTCCAGAAGCTGCAGCCGCAGTCAGGCGAGATATCTTCGTGGACGACTTCTACAGTTCCCGCAATGATGTGCCGCAGGCAGTTTCCTTGAGAGCTGATGTCTCATCGCTGATGGCTAAGGGTGGTTTTCCTATGCGAAAGTGGGTATCCTCTTCACCGGAAGTGCTGGCAACGATACCATAAAACGGACGGACTATCTTGAATAAAAACTTACAGCAGGGTACTCACCTTGGTCGAGCATTGGGAGTTTGGTTGGATGCACAATCAGACACTCTAGGACTCACTTATCCACATGTTG